ATAGCAGCGCGCGCGGAGAGCAGCTGAGCGGCTGTATGGCACTCTGTCGCGACCGGGTCCGGGTCGGGAGACACCAGACTGCGCGGACGCGAGCGTGCACGGGGGGCGTTCGGGGGGGGGGAAGCCGGACGGAGCGAGCGGTCGGGACGCGGCGGCGGCGCTCGCCAGACTGAGGCGCGGCGGGGCTCGCGGCCGAGCGGCGCCCACCTGGCCGCGCCCCACCGCGCCCCGCCACGCCCCACCATATGTGAGTGTGTGTGTGAGAGCGGCGTGCATGGCTGCAGGCTCCACAGCCAGCAGCTCTGGTTGGGCCGCCTTTGCTGTTGCTGCTATGGTTAATGATATGGCAGAGCACAAGTACGGCTGCTGAAGCGGCCGCCTTTGCTTACTCGACCACAAATAGTACCTTTTTGGGGGAAATAGAAAAAAACAAAACAATTCTTCGTTTTCTTTTCTTAATTTTATTGGTGGGTGCCCCAAGGGGCCATGGCGCCTTACTGGCAGAGCGGAGGCAAACCCGCCCGCACCTGTGTATTTTATGAAACACCCGGTATGCAGTGCGCAGTTATGGCGGCTGATATCCTTACGTCGTCTTACAAACAGCCACGGAGGGATCACGTTCGCACGTCCACCGCCGGGATCGGAAACTTGATCCCTCCCTGCCAGTTTGTGATCCCCTCCAAGCGCGCCGTGATCCCACCCGCGGCGCCGCATCCACACCGCTTCCGCGGATAACCTCTATTTCCGCGACCAAAACGTATCCGTCGCTCTGTCATCTTCTCTTGCTCTTTTCTCTTTCTCTCTTTTTTTGGGTGGGGATAGGAGGGTGGGGTGGCGGAGAGTTGTGGTTACACCTTGTCTCTCCGCCTGACCATGAGAGACAGAGAGAGATAGAGAGACCCTCGACTTTGTCAACAAAGCGGGCAAACATGGAGGGGGGGGGGGACAGGATGCGTCTCCCCCCGTCGCCACTACGCCCCCGCCCCTGCTCCCAAAGTTCAGTTAGTGCAACAAAGGGCCTGACTCCCACCAGTCCTTCCGTCAACCTGACTCGCCTTCCTGTGATAAGCTCGGCCCACAGCGGGACACCTGCAGCGGGCCACCCCTGCAGGCTCGCCCGCAGACCTGCAGGTGGCAGGTGAGCGATACAGGAAAACGGAAGGTAATAAAACGCCCGTCCAGCGCCGTTATCGCTCGGCAAACAAGTGACCAAATCGATTGGTTAAAAAAAAAGAAATCAGTTCGCTCAGAGACATTCGGCACCGTGTGTCCGACTGCTTGAGTGTGGCTGTGACACGAAAAGGTAATTGTTCTCTCTATAATGCGATTAATAAAACGAAAAGGTATTTCATTTTACAACCTGGCAAAATAAAATGCCGCCTGGCGCTTGGGCTTGAAGTCGCGTGTCTTGCATGTCACTGTGAAAAAAAAGTAGGTAGGTTCACAGGAAAATTTTCCTTGACGCAAGTCGTAAAATTACAATTCGAAATCGTAAAAATACATGCAGTATGTATCGACTTCAAATCTCTTGGCGAGTAAAAAATGTGCTGTCGTGAATTTACAACTTAAATTATAATTCGAGTTTACAAAATTTTTGTTAATTTACGACAAAATTTTTAACAGTGGTTGTACACACGCTTGACTATTTTATTTATCTTGAGAGGTAATGAGGACGTTGTTCCAATAGCCCCACGCAGCAGCAGAAGCAGGTAGCACTGCTCAGCTGCTCCCCACAGTGCTCGCCCGCCCGTGCGGCCCTCGTCACAGCGCGATAAGCGACTCGACATAACCTTCTGTGGGCCTCGAAAAGAGGAGCTCCTCGCGCTCTAGATCAACACTCTCACTGCCTTCGAACACGTTCTCCGCACTGGTTAAATAAATGTAGAAAGTTGCACATTGTGCGGCAAGTTGCAAATTGGTGTGCTTTTCAAACGCAAACGTCTAGGCAACTGCTGCACACCTCTCAGTGTGCAACTTCTGACACCTTGTATAGGTTCCTTGTACTGTTACGAAGACTAGTATGTGTAACCAAATGTGCATGCAAAATTTGCACACTTTCGAAACGTTTAAACTTTGCACACTATGAAGTGCGCTTTTTGTTTAAACACCATGAGAGTGCTTTTTAGAGGAAAGCATTCATAACGTAGGCACAAGATGCAAAGATGCACACGCTGGAAAAATAAACGTGACGTGCGTCACGTATCGTGATGCACTCCACTCCATGCAAAAGGATAGGGGCATCACGCATCACAGGGAGAGTGCATCAAGAAACGTGACGCACGTCACGTTTGTTTTTCCAGTGCACCTGATACTTGTTTTACCAGTGCGCACACTCTTACGCATTTCATGTTGTTACTGCAAAACACTGCAGTTGTGCTAGGCTTAAATCAAATGAAGAAAGAAAATGGACACGAACTTTGACGCATCCGCCGGCAAATTTTAATAATAAAATACAACACAACAACAAAACCAGCCGAGGACAGCCAGCATCCCGATTTGGCCGGCATTTGTCGCCCCTTGTGGGTCGCAGGAGGGGGTCAAGCCCCCTCCAATCCGTCCGCCAACCGAGGCCCCCCGGAGCGAGCGGCGCTGTTGTTCTGTTCCTAGAAGCGGCACGCGCCACAACACACGTCGCACACTGTTTCAAACATTTGCATCATTTGTAACAAGCTCTTGAGCATTTTAAATGTACCCATACTATGGATTTATGGAATGGAATCCTGCAAGAATTCCGCGAAATAATCGCATATGCACTTTAGCACACAACCCATTTTTCTAGACGAATACTATGCATAGCAGCCCCTATCGTGCATGCTAATTATTGTGCAACACTACGATATTGTGCGTCTGCACACTTGTTGAACGATTTTACTCATCTATAGTTGTGCACAATTGCGTAAACAGGTAAGCACAAAAAAATTTAAGAAAAAGGTTCAGTGTCAGAATGTTTTTTAGTCTCTACTGCAAGCGGATTACTCAAGCGCCAGGCGCCAGCTCTACTCGATGGTGTGCATGCAGCCCGGCAGCGGCAGCCTCGACTTGTTGCGCTTATTATTATTATTTCGATGAAAATCGCAAATTCCGACTCGACTCTAGCAGGGGGGAAGTTATTGTTGCTGCTGTTTGCCGTTATCTGATTTACGCCACGGCGTCCCCGCGCCTTATGGTTACTGGAGCAGACGGAGCGAGACGGTGTGGTGCTGGAGCCGAGCCCTGGCGGGGTCGGGCTGGCGCGAGACAGCGGCCATTCAAACAAATTGGATTAGACTATTCGGGCGGCGCGGCGCGTTTGACATGTCAGGAGTGCGTGTGTGTGTGAGAGTGCGTCTGTGCGGCCCGATGGCCCCTCCCCTCCCCGGCCTTCCAGTCCCGCCTCTGCCCGTCCATCCGACCTTGTCCCCTCCCTCCCCCCTTCCACACCTCCTCCTCCGCCTGTCTCCAGCCACTCCAGCAGCACGGGCTCCTCGATCAGCTGAGTGGGCAGCAGGAGCAGGTGCCCCTGTGCGAGCGAGCGAGAGAGAGAGAGAGAGAGAGAGAGGGGGGGGGGCGATGACGACGGAAAGAGAAGACGGAAAATAAAGAAAGGGAGATATGGAAAATCGAGAAAATGACGCACTTGAGACGTGTCGACCATCACACGCACGCACACATGCACAGCATCCCAAAGGTCAGGATGCACCTGGACCCGCACGTCGGGGATGACGCGTTCGTCCGTAGGCTGGTGGTGACCGAAAGAGGGCGCGGCGCGGAGAGGCGCGGCGGGGGCCGAGGTGGGGCGGGACCGGGTTCGACTCCCGGCGGAGCCCTGCCGCGCGGGAATGCGGACGCCTCGACGGACGCCGGCCCCGCGGCCCCCGCACCGCGCGCGCACACCTGTCCGCCGTCCCGGGCGGGCGGCCGTCGTCGGCGGGCGTCGCGTCGTCACCATATCATGGGTCGGCGGACGAAGCATCCTCCCCGCACCCTTTAACTACGGGCTCCCGCCATCCCTCCAAGGCTGTTAGGACACGCCTGGCCATTCAGCGCCATGATGTGTCCCCTGCTTTGATAATCGGCTTGGGCAATAATTATTGTCTTTGATCTAAGTTTCGTCCAATCGCCACCTGTGACTGCCATTAGCTTCCGTTACTGGAAATATATAATGTACGCGTGCCACAAACCGGGGCTACACCTAACTCGGTGACACTTCGTCCCAACTCTCCAAAAAACACTCGCCTATACACACATAGTGCACGCCATCACTGTGAAAAATACACTGGTAAGTTAACGATATATTTTGTAATTAATGATTACAAAATAATGTGTCAGTTTATGACACCCCAATCTTGCCCGTCGGTAAATTCCATGTCGATAAATAGTGCATGCAATTTTACAAATTTCAAATAGGAATTCTACGACACGCTTCGTAGAAATTTTTCCCGTAAAACCGACAACTTTTTTTTTTCCCCAGTGTACATCTTCTCACTGGAGGACCACTCGCACCACATTGCTCGCACCACAGGACCGCCAAGCCCCAAGCCTCCCGCACCGGCCGCCAGAGGGCGGACGCGACCGACCGGCCACATGGCTTCTGCTCGAGCCGATTGGGCGGCCGAGTCGGCAGGCGGCGCGTCCGATGGGCTGCCGACCCACCCGGCGCGCTGGGCACAAGCCTCGGCACAAGCTGAGCGAAGGGGCCGAGCGCCACCGGCTGGTGATTCTTTTTGAGAGTTGGTTGGGATTTATTCCGAGCATAGTGAACTGTCCCACACGGATAATATTTTTGTTCAGCCTACCTCATAACTTTGGCCACATTTTAGTTGAAAGTGACAAATTACGGATACAAAAATTTACAGACCCCAATAATTCGATTTCAAAATGGGATATACAAAAACTTCTTTCAAAGAAACAACTTGGGAATCTAAGAGATATAAAAATATCCTCAATTTTAAAACCATAATAAATTATGAATACACATTGTGTTTTCGTAAGTTCCCAATATGGAGGTGCACATTACTCACCCGCTGGCTGATGTGGGTCTCGTCGCCCTTCCCCCGCTTGAGCGAGGGCGCCCGGATCACCCTGCCCGAGTCCATGTCCTCGTCACCTGCAGGCGCGTCGCTGCCGCTGGTGCTGCTGCATGGCCTCCTGCGTAACAATGAGAAAACCGTCAGTCACGCATCATCACAAGAAACGACAAAACGTATCAAAACAAAAAGGGGAAATGACCAGACTGGCATGCGTAGGTACACAGAGTAAATTACAAAACTGTCGTGCAAACTGCAAAAAGTACGCGCATCCCACCCCAAACATTTTTAGCGGAGGAGGCACCTTCCCAAAACTTCTTCGCGGCATTTTTTTAAAAATGGCGCTCATAGCTGCTGGACCAGCGAGCGGTAATAAAGAGGTACCCATGTCCGCTCAGGCCGCTGCGACAACGTGTGTTTGGGGATCGATTCCCCGCCGCCTCTACCCCGGGCCGCGTCCCCACCCGCACGGGGTAGCGACACCGCCCGCCACAGGTGCACGCTGCGCTGCGGTGGCGGTGGTGCATGTGCATCGCACACAACATGCTCGACGGGAGAGAAAAAGAAAATTAGCATGCCTCTCTATCATCATTAACCGGCGACCTCATTAGAGTGAGAGAGAAGGAGAGAGAGAGAGAGAGAGAGAGAGAGAGAGAGAGAGAGAGAGAG